AGTTTTCCCTTTAGAACTGAACAACAACTGCAATTCCTGTTCCAGAGCACGCTGAAGGGCTCCCTGAAGAGGAACAGAACGGATGCCCTTTTTAATTACCCACAGAAATTGGGAGTTTGGTGCAGAGAGCTCCAAGGAGCGCATATTGTGCAGCAGGAGGGCAGCAAGGTGCCTCAAACAGCCTGCTGGCATCGGAAACAAGTTGGTGAATGTAAGAGGCAGCGGCCGCCCTGCGGCAGCCAGCACCCGGCAGGGGTATCCGGCACCAGGTCTGCCCTAGGATGGGGTAAGGCCTGAGTCCTTATCCCTGATTGGGATAAGGACTGAGTCACTGGCACTTGCTGTGCTGTAGCTGCACGTACAGACCGGTGCCTCGCTGTGTGGGGAGAACACTCACAGCACCAAGYGCTTCTGTGAGAGCAGGGACCGGAGGCGATGGCACCTCCGTCACGGGGCCGAAACTTGTGTCCTTGCTCCTGAAACCGCCCCGGTTTGCTGGCGTGGCAGAGACCCGTGTGCGCAGTGTCCGTAGCGGGCCATGCAGGTAGCCTGTGTGGCACCTTTCCTGCTGCTGGCGTCACCCTCTGCAGCCGGGAGAGTCCGTGTCCCGCTCCGTGGAGGAACAGCCTGGGATGCCCACGCGGGGGCTGCCCGGAGCAGGGCTCCTGGCTGGAGCTGGCGGTGCCGATGCGGGAGGCGCTTCTCAGGGTGGATAGAGCAGCTGCATCCTGAGAGGAAGCAGGAATGCAGGAATGAACAGTGAGCAGCCAGCACTGGCAAAGCAGCAGCTGCTCCGGGCAGGAACCTCCTGACCGCACGCTCCAGGACTGGAAAACTTCCAACAGGGACAGGCCCTGTCCCCTCGCATGGCCACGTCGCTTCAGAGTAATTCTGTTAACGTTTGCACCGGGGCCAGTGTCGGAGGACAGAACGGTCACCTGAGCATCCACCTTGGAAGCCCTGGGGCCAGGTAACATTTTCAGCGGGGCTTTCAGACCTGACTCGGCAGCGGAGCTGCTACCAGGGCCTTCCTGGTGCCACAGCACGAGCAAGATCTCACTCCTGTGCCAGGYTCTGACGTCCACTCAACGTGTCAGGATATCACGTCCCCAAGCGCTCTACCCTCTGTCAGCTTCGGCTGGAGTTTGGCTGTCTCCAAAATGAGCAAAGGGCCCTGCCCAGGGAAGGATGGCCTGGGATCCCCAGGATCGCCCTTCCTTGGGGCAGAGACAGCTCACACAGATGAGCTCATGTTTCTGTCAAGCTTGCGCTAACTGGGCTATGTGCAGTCCTTTCCCAGCAAAGTTTGCAGTGGAAGTTTCTCCTACAGAGGGAAGCAGCACTTTCAGATTTTGTAAGGAGTTTGATTTTTCCATCCCCCCAAACTATTTAGCTATTATATAAGCCTTAGTTGCTCTCAAAAGATTAGTTTCATTGACTGGAGCGCAGGTATCAGTGAATGCCAGTGGGAGGATCTCCGGACTTCGCTCCATCTTCGCTTTGACRGCGCTGAAAAATTGTGACAGACCCAAGAGTAAACAAAGCAGTAAATCTCTGTCTCCCTCCGAGCTATTAGACACCTTCTCATCTATTGATACATCTACATAATCTTCCCTGCTGTAGGCTGCAATCTAGTCATTGCAGAGATAGCCTCATAAAATCTGAAAASATTTTTCAAGGCATTTGCTGCAGTATTTCTGAACAGCTTTACCCCTTCTTTGCTGTGGATTTTTCATAGAGACTAAAAAAAGTGAGAAATTTGTAATTTAGGAAACCGTTTTTATTGTATTTTTATTAAAGAAAAGCAATGTTAGCTATGCAAAAAAAATCATAATTTAAAATTTWAACAGTCTTTGTAAAATTGCAACTGAAACATCATGTTAAAAAATCTTGAAGAGAAATAAGCATATTAACAACTTAGAAATAGCCAGGTCCAGAAGCCTATGGAATCACAGAGAGAAGCATCAGCTGACGCGTTTTGCACAGAACTGCTTCTCCTTCAGGAATTCATTATTAAAGAGCACGTAAAAGCTTGTACTGATGAACCCAGAGTCAAATTCTCAGTTAACTTAGGCCTCATGTCATACTCGTCTCTCAGCAGAGCAATGTTGTTTTACCCCAAATGGGGGCTTCCAYCTAGAGGTGATATCTGGCCAGCTTTTAACACCATTCACACACTCAGACTTATCCTGCAGTTCTTGCACATCTGCTGCACTGGGGGAGTCTAGGTCAAAACCAGTAAATTTAGCATGTGGAGCAATGTGGCAAGAGGAAAGAAATGCAGCAAAAAAAAAAAAAAAAGAAGAAAGGGAGGGGGGGGGGGGGGGGGGGGGGGGGGGGGG